CAACATACAGTAAACCAAATCAGCCCTCAGTTCTGTAGCTGCACATTTGATAAATAGCATCACATTCAGCCACTGGGGTCTCAAAAAGACTTTGGTGCTAGTGGCCTCTGGCTCAATTGAAACACGTCTGGCGAAATCATTTCTAAGCTGTAGAAAGATCCAGAAAGCCTCTTATTGGTGTGGTGCTTGCTGCTCGGCTAGTGCTGCCTGATACAGCTGAATGACTTGGGGAGGAAGCCAGGGGAAGCAGAAGAGAAATGGCCAATCAGAGAGCCACAAGCTTAAAGGGCAAGTACACCTGTTACTCTGCCATGTGTCTATGGTGCAGGAGTATCTTCTAATGTGTCAGATAAGAGACACTTAATTTCTTTTGCCTCGGTCAAGAAGGAAAACCCCAAAGAAGACGGCTGATACCAACGGTCTGTCCTGGAGCAATAATTCACAAGCAGGTAGTGTTTTTGAATAAAGAAAATGCATTCAGACTATTAGTGTAGAATTTGTTTGAACCTTAATGCTACACTTGGAAGCATAAATTCATGAACCACTATGTTTAGGAAAAATCTTAGAATTTGGTCAATTCTAATTCAAAATAAAAAACATACACATGAACATATCGTGAATGACATAAAATGTTGAGTATGTAATACAATTGCTTTTAATTGGAACTACAGTACACAGCATCAGTGTGAACCCTTGCCTAAATGATGTCAGGGTAAATTCAAAAGGCTGTACCTTTCTGTGGCCGAACACTGGAAGTTGCAGGTGATTCTCAAATAAAGTGTGCCCTGTTCCAACCACGCATCATGTTCATTAATTCATTGCAATACAGCTCCTGTAAAACAATCTCACACTTTCGTATGTCTTCTTTTACCAGCAAATGGCTATTTTCTTAATTGGTTGTGAAATAGATAAGAGTCTGTTCTTTGCTAATTGTGTTTCTAAATAGCCTGTGAAGCTCAGTGCAGTATAGAGACTTAGCACACTGCCTGGAGCTGAATCCAGAATTGTATTATTTATAATACGCAACAACTAGCCAAATAAAGTTGTGTGTTCTAGCCATATAAAAAATAATGTTGCTTTTCTATTGCAAAATTGTGCTTAATTTTTTGTAATCATGTTAAAGAAAATATACTACAAAGAAGAGCAAGCCGGTACAAATTATTAAGGAATGTGCTACATTAACAGGCTTAAAAAAAATCTTAACCATTTTAGTCTCAGGCACTGAAGTATTCAAAACCTTTCAAGGAACTGGCAAAGTCAGCTCAATGCACTTCTTCAGAGTGAACAGTGAAACACAAAGCAGAGAACACAAATGGAAACTATGTGGAACTCTGTATTTAAAACTAAGAACAGGAGGCAAAGGGGGGCATTTCTTTACTCAAAGGCTTGTGGGAGTATGAAACAGTATGAAACGGACTAAACGGCCAAGATGTTGAAACCAAAACCTTGAATCCATTAGCTACCAACTACCAAATGATTTAGACGGGCCTTCTCTCAACGTTCTTACATTCCTACAGTATGTCAAATGAATGCTTCTCTACACTGCAGAAACTTGCAGAAGCCTGGTCAGTGCCACTAGTTCTCTAGAGAGCTGAAAGTTTAATTTTACTGTTTGTCTTCTAAGGAAAAATGGAGGATGTAATCTAAGATAAACATACATAGATATATAAAGACATAGATAATGAACGATCATGTCTGGAAAAGAGATATGTTTGTTTTGCAACAGTAAAATATAAAGTAGTGTTAATACTGTGTGGTGTCATATGTTGCCTTAAAGCAGCAACACCCTAACAAATTACACAGCACTATTGATAGGAACATGCAACCATTTGCAAACATGGACTTAGTTTGAAGAAGTCGACAGAAAAGAGTTTACTGGGATGCTTTTGATCAGTCGAGAAGCTGAAGGCTCATGCCCAGTGATGAGCCAGACTCTCTGACTCAGTTAAATGTATCATGGACTATATATAGCTGAAACTCCAATGTTTTCACTCAAATTAGGCTCAGAAGTGTACTTATCAGATTATATAAAACAGAGGCTTGATTTGTTGTGTTGAAGATATAGACTGTTTTGGTTTTCTTCAAATCTCTGCACAATTATTCTTTTGTGTTGCATGGTCTGTCAGTTTTGGAACTCCTCTCTGCAACGGAGATCAGTGAGTGAACTGGGAACTCATCTGTTTATCTATCTATCTATTTCATGGCAGACGGCAAGTCTCCCCAGTTTCGTCTTCCGGATATTGAACCATGTCATCTGAGTTGTCTATACACCTTCACTTATCATGGCCGGCCCGATTCGTGCCTTCTCAATTACAAAGGCGCAACAAGCAGCATCACAATCTCCAGCACCCAGCAAGATATCAGCTCTCAGAACAAAGCATTCTGTATCAGCAAATGTATCTGTAAATGTATCTCAACCCCAAATCATAATAATAGGTAAATGCAATTTATTCTTTACTTCTCTGTCCCAAAACATGTATATATTGTTCTTTTTTTCCAGAATTGGACCTACAGTATATATTTAAAATGAATGTTGCTGCACTACACAACAAAATTATGCATCTAGACAACATTGAATGGGCCCTCAATACAGCAATACAAAACATATTTTCTTCAAAATATAAGTCCGTTGTAACATTCATGGAGATCGAATAGCACCATATTTTAACCCACTATTTAAAAGTGGTGATGTGGTTTGAACCTCTTTTAATTATTATAATTATTATTTTTCCTTCCTCTTCCAATTAATAGAGTAGATACAGTACATGAATGAATGGAAGGATGGATTTCCTATCAAGATGCTATTGTTTTCTGCCTCTTACCTAAACTATAGGCCTTACCTGGGAGAAGGGAGTGTGATTAAGCCCACGAACCCTTCCAAAATGCTAAAAGTCTTGATTTGTTCATAAAGATCCACTAGGTATCGCTCACTGTTTTTAAAGCATCCATTCTCTCTTCATTTTTTCCAGTTACTTGCTATTTCCTTTGTCAGTCACTCTTCTCTACCTTGGTCCTTTCTCTTGGACATGTTCATCCCAAACAGGACAAAAAAATCAAATGACCAAAAGGGGTTATTTATCAAACAAAATAAAAAAAAATGCAATTGCAATTTTTCAAATAATAGTGTATTTCTGTACTGTGTATTTACTGGCAGAATTTTTTAATACTGTAATGACTTACTTAGGTATATGTCCTACTTACTGTATGATTCCCTTTGTTTTTAAAAATATTGATCTCTGTTTACTTCTTTTTACTTTTGCATGAGTCCAGCACAATGATGGCTCTGAAAACTTGAAAATTCACTGAGCATGTAGACTGGAGCACATCAGGGAAGACTGTAGTAGAGTCAATGGGACTTTGTCTCAAACTGAAATCAAGTTCTCTATTTTATTCCAAATAAAAGCTGCCTGGCCATTGTTGTATGAGACTCAGTCCCTGAGAAGAGTAACAGGTTAAACCTGGCACTGGGGAGGCTGTCACATGAGGAGAGGTAAACAGAGTTTAATCTCTTTAGGACTGCATAACAGAAGCCTTTGAGGAGATTTGATTGATGTTTCCAAATCCTGAAGGGGATTGTGAAAGTCATCTCCTGATTCTACTTAAGGGCCTGAAGAGATACCTTGACCACAGGGTGAGTCTGGAAATTTACTGAAGTTAGATTTAGGACAAAACATATAACACAGATTCAAACAGCTTTTTTAAAACCAGAACCCCCCAAAACAGCCACGAAAGATTAACTGACATGAGCTCTGAGTTAAAAGCATAATGTTTCTACTCGAAGGTGACTGCTGCACTTATTAGGTTTACTAGAGATGTGTTCTAAACAACTCGGGCACAGAGACACCACAACATCTGTGATTCTTTCGTTATCTTTAAGATGCCACAAAAAAGCTAGATTTCTTTGTGATATATCCTTCTTGGGTTGAAGAAGGAGAGCCAAGATTGTTTCGTACTCCTTAACACAGGGAACATAGAGAAATGACTACCTAAAATCAAAATGTTTTTCATAGAAAGGGCAATCATTAATCAATGCTGTTAAAGCCCTTCTGATATTCTCCTGGTTGCAAATCTAACAACACCCTGGAGTTGAAAAACATAAAGAAATATTCTTTTTGAAGGTTTAGTCATTCAAAGAAAAAACAAATATATATATATACACTGTATGTATGCATTCTATCACAGGTAAAATGCTGTTATGTTCTTTACCAAGTCAGCTAAGGAAAATAGAATACAATATTTCTTTCATCTGACATAAGAGCAATTTATTATACATATTTATGGAAACATTTAGCAGATTATCATTAAATAATAAAAGCTGTGACTATAGACAGGGTGGGAATTAAATTATTATAATAAAACAAAAATTAAACACAATAATCTTAAAAGAACAATACACTAACAGCATATCTCTAAACATAATAAGTTTACAATACAATACTGTATGTCAGTGTGCAGAATTGGATATAGGGATGCAGTTTAAAAATACAGATCAGTTCTTAACGGAGAATTAACCCTACTGTACAGTATATGTAAAAATCATTCATTATTGATTTATTGTGGACTGGATAGTTTTCACAATATTTTGTCCACAGGGAAAATAATGACTTACAGTATGTCTCTAATGGCCTTTGGCTGGACACTCTGTATTCTTAGTGCATTACAGAGGAATACCCTATCACTCTATGAACTCAGTCTTGATTTGGAAATGTGTATCAGTACAGTTGCAGTAAATAATATAAACAGAATTAAAGGGGTCACATTGGTTACAGATTCTTGCATGTAACCTTCATATCTCCTAGCAAAATGCAAAAAGATCCTGCAGGATGCATTACACACAGAAAAAAAGAATGCAAGGATACCTGAATATAGGGTATCTGAGCTGTAGAAGAAAGGCTAGGAGAGTAACAAATACAAAATTATGTGATGAGGATAACCAATCATGGTTTGGAGATCAAACCATCTGCTCAAACTCCAGACTTGCAAAGCCTCCAGGTCCTTACCTTGGCCCGTATCTGCCCGGAAGTGGACACCTTCCTAATGAGCTTGTGGGAGGTCTCCTCCTGGTCCCCGTCACTGTCAGATGACTCTTCTCCGGCTTCTTGCTGGGCCAGCCTGTCCGAGTCGTGAGGAGACAGAGACTCCTGGGGCTCTCGCACGTACAGAACATTGGGGCTCAGCTTCTTGGCCATGGTCGGGTCAGGTTGGGGTGGACCAAGGACAGATCCACTCCTCTTACCAGTCCAATATTCTGCAGAGATGAGTTTGCACAGTTAGCTTTTTATACCACATTTTCCCTATTTCTAGATTTCTTCAAAGAGGCTTTTCCTTTATTCCTCATTGACAACTCCCTGATACTGTTATCTACTGCTTCTTTTTTGTCTGTTAATGTCTTTAATGTGACTTAGTGCTTCATTGTTCATCTTCATTTAACGGAGCAATTCTCCCGTGTTGCTAACCTAGTTAAGAGGCTGCTTCCTTTCACTCTCTTCTTGCTTAATTGATGATTCTTGTCTAGTTGGCTAGAAAAGAAAGGGAAAGTGCCAGCATTTATCAGTGCCCAAACAGCTGGTCTGAGAAAACAGTTTTGCTTCGCTCATTTGCTTTGTCCTGTCTGGACAAGACTGAAGCCTGTTTGAAGGACTGAGAGAACATTTTCTTTTCCTTTAAGAGAAAATTGAAGGATGCTGGCAGCGTGAGACTGGCTCAGAAACGATACGACAAAAAAGTCACAGCAAACTTAACCCAAATACTGTTTCATGTAACGAACAGAAATAATGATGATCTTAGTGCATAAAATATCAATTGCATATCCCCTTATATTAAAGGCATGTACAGTAAACGAAAGTAAGACAGACTGTACATACAGTATGAGTATATTTACTTAAAAACTCTACTAAACCTATTAAAGCACCACCATAACTTTGGACCCTGCTAGTTTTAATAGTTAAGTTGTTGCTGTTATGATCATCATCATCACCTTCGTCATTATTAGTATTAGAAGCAGTATTCCGTTGCATTCCATGTTTATAATGCACATCATCTGTATTTCAAAATACAAATCCAAATACATTTTTTTTCACCTGTTATGATACAACTAATCTCCGTTCCCTTAGAGTCTCTTATTTCTCCTCAATGAAATAACACATTCCATCGATTTCTGGGCCCTTCATCTTTCAACAAAGGAGTTGCGGTTTCATAATTTAGCTGCATCATAACATTGGATAGCATGAATAAAATTCTTACATGAATCATCATAATGATGTAGGACCCTTTAGGTTTATATATGTTCAATCTGCCTTTCTTTCACGGAATGTAGCCCTCTAAACACTGTCCCGAGGCAACAGGCAGGCGAGAGTGCTTTGCCCTTGGCGACACGTACCCTACCGAGTAGCGCAAGGAATGTGTAGCTCCTTCATTCATTCATCGCTTCGCGTATCCATTCAGAATTATAAGACTTCCCTTCACTCTGCAATGGCAATATCTGCCTAAAATTCCACCTCCCCGATTTCTCTGCCTTCAGACCCGAGCGCTTAAAAGGATATACACGCTGTTCTGTTTACCTCTGCAGCGGCGCTTCTCCTTTGTAACGTATTGAGCTGTCACTGTCGGTTTCGGGTCCTTCTCTTCACACACACTCTTCTTATCAGTCTCCCTCTCTCGCACACACACACATGCAGGCATGCAGATGCATGGGCTCGGAGCTCGGGGAAAGGCTGGAAGAATGCACACAGACGCATCTAATCGTCCTTGAGTCCATGGTTAACTGGCTGAACAGAGAAAACACGTCCTATACGCGGATGAACATGAACGGAAAGTTCATGATTTATTATTTAGGACTAACACAAAGCATTACACTGACTGCTTACACAGAGTGGCAGTAAAATATCGTCGCCTCACCTGTTCTGTGACAGCACCCACGACAGGTGGTTACATCATTCAAACGCGATAACCTCTAAGCTCTCCCAGAGAACAGCATGAGGTTTGGCTCGCAATTAAACCTTCACTGCCCTGTTGTGTTCGAATAACTCTTTCTAGCTACCGTATCTCCTAATTTCTGTACCTTTTAGAACAAGTCATTCAGCAGGTCTTGGACTAAAGACCTGCTTTTTGGTTACCTAGACAAGTTCGGCTTTTGAACTAAGTCTCCTTCTCGTGCGTGCGTCTGCGTCCGCGTTATTAATACATTTCTGCAGATTACTCATTTTGAAATATTTTGGTCCACTTCCTTCTTGAGACACACCAGACGTTTTGAACAACGCGCTGACGCGCTATGCTACCCTGAATATTAACAAAAAGCTATAAAATGCGGTTTCACTTTCATCATTTACAATTTCGCCACCCTTTGTGAAATAGGGAAAAAGCAACTAAGGATTCGTCAGCATGTGCAATCCTCTCTGTTGATTTTCACGGTGGGATTCATTGACATCAGAATCCTCCCGAACATTCAAAGGTTGTAAAACTCCGATCCAGGATTAAAAGAAAATTGTGATTCTTGATCTAAATCTAGAACGTCTTCGCCATGTGCTTGTAAGACTGTTCGCAGGAAAGCCTTCTGCCCGCATAGTTAACCGGAACCGGTTTTAAAGAGACCGGGCTGAGCAGCGGGTATGAGCTGTGGCAGCACCTTCGTTACTTATTTGCTAAGGTACTGTACCTTATCTTTCCGTTTTTGCTCTAAAAAACTTAAGAAAATTACAAACCCTAAAAATAAAACAAACTAGATCTCTAGTGGTATACAGGAAATTGCAGATTATCTGTTTTTATTAACAGATGACTGCACCAATTAATCCCGTCTTTTAATTCCATAAAAGACGTGAGGCACCTGTAAAAGACGGGCATGTTCTTTCTGTTAATTACAGGCCAGGCACTGTCGGAGTATTCTGATACTGTCTCTATAGAAGGGTTACAGTATATGCCATACAATTCCCAATGGGAGCTAAAAAACAACTTGGAGCTGACTTTAAATCAGATAAACCACAATATATTATGTTTTCAAGGGTTTGAAGGGTAATCATTTCACATAGTCTTGCCAAATTCTAAATGGGGATTGAATGTTTGCCTTAAGAACACAGATTCACTCAAAAGTCTGATTTTGTTTCTTGTGCAGAAAAGTGAGATTTTGTTTCTTGATTTTCTTTTTTTTGTACACCGCTTTTATTAATAAGAACACAGATACAGATTATTTTCATTTTAGTTACACCTGGGCCTACAACTGTATGTGCCTGTCATCAAAGCAGTGAAAATCTGTTTTTAACCAAAATTTGTTGAATTTGCAAAAAGCTTCAGCACTAGTTCATGAGTTCATGGCCACCATGGGCGGATTTTTCTTTCTGAGGTCTGTGAACTACTGAAATACTGCTTATTATGATCCCTGGAAAAGCCCCCACCTGCTCCTGGAACTGCTGGTGTGGTTCATCCCTAATGAATGACACTTTATCAACCAGGATTCAGGTCAGATCATTGTCCAAGCAACAGTAGCAATGCAGGATGCAGCCTCAAAGGGACGACAGACAGTCACAGGGTAGACAGACACAGACACACACACTCACACCATGGCTAGTTTTCCCAGAAGCCAAATAATTTAGCACAACAGTATGTCTCATTTACCGTGAGGAAACTGGACACCTGGACACACTGAACACAGGGACAACATACAAACCATGCAGAGAGCAGCCCAGGTCCAGAATTGAATCCATGGTTCCAGCAATGCTAACCCCTGCGCCACCGTGCCTCCATAATTAGTTCAAACCTCATTTGATTCTTTACAGGATCACTGTCCAGCCCACATGTCCAGGGTGACTTGACAGGTGTGATTTCCATTCCTTCTTAACTATGACAGACCAATTTAGGGATATGCACTTTGGAATATGCCTGGTGCTCCATGAAAACCAAATGGCTACCACGTAAAAGCTTTCGAGATTTTGTTACAGAATTTGATATGGTGTTTGTGTTCAATCCTAGATGCCGTGATACCAGGCTTTCCCCAAGTTTTTCAATTAAATCATCCACTTAGGAATTAGTGTGGATAGCAAATCTGAGCACTTTAAGCTTTTGAAATTTCTCACAGAATTGCCCAGGCCCATCTGCTGTTGGAACTAAGAACTAAGACTATTGGATTTGACCATAGGTTGTCAGTCTCTTCATCCATCCACCCATCCTTTTTCGAACTGCTTCATCCAATTCAGGGTCACAGTGGAGCCTCTTGGCAAGCAAAGGGTTCAAAACAGAATACAGCCTGGATGGGATGTCAGTCCATTAGACACACACATAGACACGCCAGAGCTTATTTTCCCAGTTACCAATTAACTTACCAGTATGTTCTTGGACAGTGGGAGAAAGTCAGAGTGCCCACAGGGGACCCACACAACCACTGGGAGAACACATAAGTAGATAGCACCCTAGGTACTCCAAGCAGATAGCACAGCAAATCCAGACTTGAACCTAGGGCCCCAGCACAGTCATGCAACAATGCTAACCACTGAGCAACCATGTTTCCCTTCAGTATCTTCAGTTGACCTCTTTTGCATTTCTTTTTACTTCAGGAATCCTTTAGGGAGAAATATGCACCATCAATCTCTGTAGTTTCTCGGTTGCAGGCTTCAGCATGTGAATTATCCCCGGCAGAAAAAGACACATCTTTGTTTTCATGCAAAAACAATTTAGGAAGCTAATTCTCCACTCGCCTGTGAGCTCCAGAGTGATTTGAATGGTCTCAGCATAGATCACTGTCACATAGTAGTGAACAATTCAGTTAGATGTACTTTGTGTTTGAGAAAGCAGGCAGTACACCTGTTGTGCAATTCTGACAGGAATGGATCTTTATTTAATATAAACTAGGAATGTTTGACAGCAGAAAGTCTGCAATGTTCAAAGTCATATCAATCCAAATATGGCTGTCTCCTAAAATGAGATTTATAGTAGTATAAAGGAGGCTGTTGAAGCTGTGTTTTTGGTATAAAAAGCTCCTGGAAATGCCTGGTCTCTATTGTTGAGGAATGAGAAGATGATGTGTCTCTCTGGAGTCCACCCTAAAGAGGACCTTTCATAGTAATCTAATTTCATAATAACAGCCAACTGAAAAGAGGTGTTCTTGGGCTTTCCAGGCTTTAAACATATTTGTTCTTTTTGTTGTCTGTCTACAAAAACAACAACATGCAACTGTTACTGTCACTGTTTTAGCTGACCTCTGGAAAAAAAATTCTGGACTGAATTTGAAGAAGAGAGACAGAGGACTCCCCAGGTACACAGAATCAATACAACGGGTATCATTTGACACTTGTCTCCACATCTGAGTAGTCCTTCATGTCTGAGAGGTGTGTTCTGAAGGTTTTTTTACTCAAGATAACATCACTTTAATCTTGCAGGACACATGAATCTGATGTTTAAGAAATAAGAAATGGAAAAATCAGAATTAAGAGCAAATGTGATACCCCACTGGTACGTGGTTTATATTTTATATATATAACATCCTCACAGTCATAGTGAAAAAAAAAACTGCAAAATGCTTTGTCCCCACCAAAAGTTAACAGAACTGAAACCGCTACATTTATATTTTCCACTTGACAAACCTTGTCAAATGTAAGTAGACTGAAAACAAAATAACCCAGAGATGTGAACACAGTGGATATAGCAGTTGCACTGTAATTTAGGAACTTTCACACTTCCTGTGTTCTGTTCTAGGTATTATTCAATATGTTAGTATTCACTTCCTTAGCAGTGTTGGGGTTGGCAGACATTGGTGGTGTGCTGGCACAAACGTGCTGAGAAGACTACTTTTAGCTTCCACAGAACCTTTTAGGAAGGAATACGAGCAAGTCAGCTCAGAAAAACGAACTGCCAAGCAGATGAATCAGCAGTGACACCATTGTCTTGACTTTGTGCATAGTGAACCGTATGGATAACAAAGTGTTAGAAACATTGTACATATTTCTTGAGCAGATCAACCGTCTTGACACAAGAATACGTGCAACACTTCAAGATATACGCGAGGATCACGTAGGTATTTATAGTATTTTAGGAGATGAAAAGAACGTTGGGAGCGATTGCTGATTACTAATTCTTGCTAATTACTGATGCCTGAGTCTGATTGAATTTGGTTGTCATCCCTCCCAAACTTTCGTTATACACCCCATGAAAAGCCCAGCTCATTTCATTGGAAAGATCTTGACACCTTCTGGCTTTAGGAATTCAGCATGCAATTGTGTTGGTGCATCTTCTGAAATATAAAAAGAAAATCGATAAAACATTCTTAGGATGTTCTAATAGACAAAAAATTGCAAATTGTTTTATACTGTTTTTCTCTACGATCAAACTGTGCACCCTGACTGAAAAATTGATAGGTAGATTCTTAATTGACTCTTGGAAAGGGATATTTTCCACACCAAACCTGCACAAGAAACTGTATTTTAATTTGTATTATTGTTCTAGCTAATTTAAATACATTTATAAGGCAGTATTAAGCATCTATATATTGTAAAAACTGTATGAGGGTTTATACAGTCTGTGCCATTAGAATTCTTTGAACAGTTTCATAGATATTTTCTGTGGTGTCATTATTCTGCGAACTTCAGATAGAACCGTGATAATTACATTTCCTACAAATTTAAACTGAAACATTACAAATAAAACAGCACAGGACTAGTTTTTGTTTTCTTCGATTATTGTAAACTATTCTTTTGCAATGCGGAGGCTTTGGTAACAAAAAGACAAGAAACAAATCAGAGTATGCTTTCTGATCAGACCAAATATGCTGTTGAAAATCTTTTCAGACTCTGCATCTAACCAGATTTATAACAGGAATATAAATGTTGTGATTAGAGAGTGTCTTTTAATTGCCCATGTTTGTTCCCTGCTATAAACTGACATCACATTTAGGAACTAGTCCCAACTTGCTCACTATACCTTCAGATTCCAGATTTCTGTGACCCTAAACTGGAATGAAATGTTTTCTGATAATCATTGCATGGTTAGGGCTGAGAGCCATCTAGTGGACTTCTGTGTTGTGCTTCATGATTTAGTGTACTGTATTCCATACCTCCAATTGTTTTTCAGCAGTGGTACTGTTAAGAAAAACACACATCATTTCCTATGGTGAACTGCTCTGGGATTCAGTGCCACTATGCTAAGCAAATACTCTAAGTAAATGGTAAATTGCACAGAACAGTATTTCAGATACCAGTATTTGCTGTAATGCATTACATGATTATTCCAATTTGCAATAACCAGTTACTGACTCCAGGGGCGAAAAGAAGAAAATGAATATTAAAATGAATGAATGTATTATAAATTTGATATTCAGTCCAGCATTTACACATACTGCACATATTTCACAGTCATACTGGAAGTAGAGTTCATTGTAATCATTATTATTTGTTAAGCAACACCTATTGGGCACTGATCTAAACATTTTTATATTTAATCAAAATGGATTCATCCTAGCAAATAATTTATCCGATTTTTAATGCTTTACATAATATAAAACACTTCACAGAAGCCTTTGGACTAAAGAGCAATACTCCATGAG